TTAGGCAAAAACAGCTTCTGTAATTAGTCCATCCTCGTCAATCCTAGCACGTTTTGGAGTAGGTGGACCTTCACTGCCTTCTGCTGACTCTTCGTCATCTGAGCCGTTCATTATCGTTAACACCGACTCACGTCTTGCTCTTGTTCGCTTCACTTCAGGCCGAAGCACCGAACGATCTTCGTGTTGCTCTTAGGTCGGTTGATGATACTTTATAAGCTCAAGTCTGTTTTGTCCAGGGCTCTCAGAGACATTAGCCGCTGTACATCGATGCTTGGCGTGTGATCCATATCATCCATTTCGACAACTGCAACTGGCTCTTCGAGCTTCCATCGGATCGTCCAGAACTGGCTGTCGATCCACTTGATGCTGAACCTTGACTTCATCACCATCCTTCATTGCTTGAATGATTCGTTTCGGCTTGATCTCTTGCGTGTCGCGAATGCCGCCGACCTCACGCTCATCCAACTTCACAGAGCGAGTCACTTTGATCTCGGCATCTCCAAGGCAAACACGCGATAGCCCTTGAAATTTTCTGCATAGCCGAGAAACATACACTTGAAGCTCTTGGGTTCAGTTTGGTCCGTTTCACGTCGTCAATGTGAGCGTAGCCGTGCGAACCAAACACGCGCAAGTGATCCATTTGAGATCTTTTAAGCCAGCTCATTAGGTGTGATGTCTGGACGGGCCGTATTGCTAGAGCGGCTAATTGAATAAACCGCCGTATATACTGCTTCTGCCCACCATTCCGTCGAGGCGCTCTCGTAATGCAGCATGCTGTGGGCCTTCTCCATGATAGTCCTGTTCATACGCTCCGCCACTCCGTTCTGCTGAGTGCTATATGGAACGGAACGCTGGTGTACAATGCCGTTCTGTTGACATATTCCAGCCATTGTCTTCTTTACAAATTCGGTTCCGTTGTCGAATCGTAAACACCTCAGTCGCGCACCCCATTAGTTTACGTAAAACGTCAGAAACTCCTTGAACTTGCACGCCACTTTCCTCTTGCTCTTGATTATAGAAATCGCCACATATCTTGAAAATTCATCCACAAACGTAAGAATGTACTTGGCACCACCCTTCGAGGAAGTCTTCATAGGGACCATGACATCTGTGGTACGCGTTCAGCACACGTGTCATTTTTGTCATCGAGCGAGATGGAAATGCCGCGACTGCTTGCGTGCCCTTTAAACACTTAACACACAATGTTTCCCCATTATGCTTGATAATTGGATTTTTTTTTGTTGAGCGTTGTGTCTGGATCAGCACGTCTTTGCTGTGGTGTCCCATGCGAGCACGCCAAAGGTCCCACTGATTGTCAGCCCCAGAATATTCAACAAGACCTGCTTCCTCTTGCTCGCAGTCAAGTAAACACGACTTCCCAACTCTTGTGCCGGACGCAATCGCTTGCTTCTTATTCCAGATAATTCAATCCGATCGCGAGAACTCCACACTCATACCACGCTCTGCAAGCTTGCCAACGGATAGTAATCTTCTGTCGAGTCCGGGAATGTGCAGAATTTCCACCATGTGAATGCCCTTTCCGTCCAATTCAATCACTTCCACCGCGCCAGCTCCTTTAACGAGCACTTTCTTCTTATCTGCAATCGAAACTTCAATGCTAACTCCAAGGCCCTTGTAATCAAACAAGTTCATCCTGTGTGGAGTCATGTGGAAGTTGCCCCACTGTCAATCAGCCATCCTGATGACTTTCCTTCACCAACAGCAAA